CATTTAGCTGACTCCCACATATCAGATAATTTATCAGTCTATCTGATTTGAAATACCACCAAATCTGTAAAATCTTATAAACACAGCATCCTACTTCATCTTCTTAATGCAGCTAAAAGCCCCACCCCAGCCCTCTGGAAAAGTCTCAGGCATCGACCATTGGTTATTAGACTACTAGAGTTTACACAGTAATGGAAACTGAAAAATGAAAAGAATGAACTACAATAAATTCAATATGATCTGGGCCACTTGCATACACAGAACAAATAAAACCACTAGCACAAACCCTTAACATAGTCATATTGAAAGGTTAATGGAATAGTTTGACTCTCTACTTCCAACCAAATGAGTGAGTCCTTTGTTTGGTTCTTCACCCTCCTCCACTGTGCAGGGTGGCTATGATTGTAAGCTCTCTGTTTAAGATATTTCATAGTTCCAAAAACAACCCTTATATACCTTTTTTCCCTCCTCCCCTCCATTCTTTAGTTCCCATATCTTTGTTCATTTTTCATACCTCAGTTTTCCAAGTGGTACCAATACTGTTAATGGCCATTAGATTAGTGACTGAACCATATGTACTGTAACCAGTGGCGTCCAGAGGCAGGTACAGTTGGTGCGGTCTGAGCCAGGTGACACCGACCGCGTGGGGTGACACCAGACCCGCTCCACAAAAAGGTAAGTTGTAAAGCAAGCCGACGATCCCCGCAGGATGGATTCGATCCATCCTGCGGGGATTGTCGGCTTTCTTTACAACTTACCTTTTCTTGGAGTGGGTCAGGTGTCACCCCATATAGGTTGCATGCCGACGATCCTCGTCGGCATGCAACCTATACGGGGTAACACCGGACCCGCTTGAAGAAAAGGTAAGTTTTAAAGAAAGCCGACAATCCCCGCAGGATGTATCGGATCTATGGATTGAGCATAATGGATCGGAGTCTGATCTATTTTGCTCAATCCGCAGATCCGATACATTCTGCAGGGATTGTCGGAGGGGCTGTCACCAAGTGTTACCACACCGGGTGACACCTACCCTAAGGACGCCTCTGACTGTAACTCAAATCGAATGGAAAGCTTATACAAAAAAATCATGCACAGTAACGATGAGGTTCAGATTCGCTGCTAACATGGGTTTGAGGCTTATCCTATAGGTTTGAGATTCACTATCTCTATGAATTTTTGAACAGATTCGACTAGTAACATTTTTTTTAAACCACAATGTCTTTAACCTATGACTACTAGGCTTATAAGGGCCAATAAGGGGGCTTTTGATCAAGCCAGCCCTCTCACTTTAAAAATTAATCATAGTGTTGGTGAATTGGAAGCTGTTATATAGAAAGCATAGGGAAAGCTAACAAACTGCAAAGACAGAAATGTGGCTCGATTAGAAAACAATCCTATCATTTTAATTGCTACCTCTTTAGGCAGTCAGTTCATTGACTGCATTTTATTATTATTGGAGGCTTTTTTGTATTTCATTTTATTTGTTTGATATATTTTCCTAAACTGCATGTGTAGGGAAAAAGAAGGGTTAATTATATGAGAGAATTTTTTTTCAAAAATGTTAATATAAAGTTACAGTAAATTGGTTAACTTTTTTCACATACTCAGTTAAAAATAGAGCTTACAGGCGTTTGTTAAATGGTGGAGAGGCTCAAACATATGCATAATTCATCCTAATGAGGTTAATAAATAGATACGTAATACATTGAGTTGTTCAAAAATATATCTATATATCCTTTTTGTACTTCACATGTATTTTGCATATGTCTGTATTCATCCACAGCTTTTCTTGAAACAAACTCAACTTTCCCAAGGATGCATGTGCAGCTCATAAGGTGTATCATATGAGTCTAATAAATATATTTAGACTTATTCCAAGAAATGTGTTGAATGAATACTGACGTGCAAAATCTAGGTGAGGTGCAAAAGCATATATAGATTCGTTTTTGAACATCTAAGTGTAATTAAGTATGTTTTCCCTATGTTCATTATGTTGAATTATGCATGCTTGAACCAGTCTTCCTTTTAAAATACACATGTAAGCTTTGTTTTTAACTGAATATGTGAAAAAAAGCACACTAATTTTATGACATTTTGGGGGGGGGGGGGGAGAAATTATTTCACACAACAATTATCCCTTCTTTTTTTTACTACACCTTATATTAATCATGATTATCAATACTGTCGCTTTAAGAAAGATTTGCTGCTAAATAAAATCAGGAAGCATTCTTTTCGATTTCTCTCAAGGTTGTAACTATTACATAGGAATGGAAAGCCAAAGGACTTTTCCAATATTGGTATTAATGACAGTCTCCATAATTAAACATGGTTATTAAAAATAAATACACTGTGGTTTATTGAACTTTCCTTTCATAAATCTTAAAGATGACATTGTCAATATTTTCAGCCATATGCTTCTCAGCCTTATATTCCTCATAATGTAGCTCAGATTTATACTTAACAGTATCGGAAGGAAATACTCTATTTAGTGCCACTAATATTTTTACCCACTGTATTCTTTTCCCTGTGGGATCAGAAAGTCTTGTTTTTTTCCTGACCTGATCTAAAAAGCAATTTTAATCTCCTAACTCTGATATTATGTTACTTGCAGCTACACACAGATCAATCTTAATATCCATTGATAAGGATGTAATGAAATCAAAGAGATGCTGAAAATGTCTAATTCCAGCAGCACCATAAATTAGTTTTTTTTTTCTCTTCTATCCCCCCACAAGATACTTCATTTTGAAGGTCATGCCAAAAATGAAAAGCAAAGGTTTCCAATACAGAAACTTATTCTGCCTGACATACCAGCATTGCACAACTTAAAGGAAATCTATTAGGTTGGGGATGTCATTGCTGATTTCCCCTTCTGAAAATACTATTTTCCTGGATGTCATGCTGATTCTTCAGTACTTTCCAAATTACTGGTGCAGAATAATCCAAATCAGTAGTTCTGATTTCAAAACTGCATGTTAGCTCCAAGTTAGTGAGCCACGAAGTATTAAAGACACATGACCCATTTGACAGCCAGCAATTTACCTTTTAAACTTAGCAAACAGGCTTGTTTAGTAATAGGTTTCCTTTGTGATTTCAAGGTGACTAGGTAAGCTATTGTGACAGAAAGAGCATAGAGAGGGGGGTACTGCCATGGGAGACATTTAAATAAGGAAAACTTTTTTTTTTACATTTGGACAGTGGTCCTTTAAATTTGACTTAGAGGGTGTCGAAGAAAAAACAACATCCATTTAAATTAAATTCTTGGGAGATGCCTTCAAGTTTTATGCTGTGTTTCAGAATAGCAGAATGTTTACAGACAGTGTCATGGATGCTGTATTTTGGCATCACATATTTTGGATATGTAATAGATATTTTTAAGTTTTACATTTAAGGTGGTTTAAACTGAACTGAACAGAACTGGTGATGTCAGCAGCAGAATTTCTCTGTATTCTCAGCACCATGCTAACCCTCCAACAGGCAGCTCTCTGTGACAGCAGCCTACTTCAATGCCTACCTCTCCCTATCCTTCACGTGGCTCTCTCCAGCCCAGGAATTCTCTTCTTTTTTCCTTCTCTCAGCTACTTGTCCTGCTGGGACTTGTAGTTCATTCAGTCAATGGTTTAATAGAAAACTGTTTCTGGAGACTACATGTCCTATATTACCAGACAGAATTCAGCAGTCCCCTTGCTCTCAAGCTGCACAGCAGCCAATTTATATCCCTGAATGCCCTGGGAAGGTGGATGGGCTCTTCTCTGCCTCACAGTGTATGCAGCACAGCTTTAAAGTGTCCTCTCTCTCTCCTCCTTTCATTGTTGGCAGCCAAGGAGAAGGAGTACAGCTGTAGCACTGGCTGTGTGTGAGTGGCTGCAGAATGTGTGACACTGTCAGTGACAGCTTGGTCCATGAGGTGATGGGCAGGAGTGATGGTGAACCCCGGATACATACATATTTAATATTGAACATCAACTAAATGAATTTGGCTGCAGTAAACAACAACAAGTTGATGCTAACCGAAAATTATTAACATTTATTTCTAGCTAAAATACTTTATTTATAAACAACTGCCTTTTTATTGTTAAGGTATTTGTATCCACCTTTTTTTTATTATTTGTTGCATCTCATTGCTGCTGACTTCTTGTTGCCTTTTTGCAGGTCACTTTCTGTCCACATGTATGCACTTCAGCGATTGCTGCATAGCATATCTCAGGGGGCAGTGACATTTTCTGATAATGACAAAAGGGGAAACTGACTGTAATATGTGTTGAAATGGTTACTTGTATACTCCACATGTTTCATATGATATATATATATATATATATATATATATATATATATATTAGTGACAGTAGGCAGGTGAAATCACCTGGTTGCGTCCTGGATGGACAATATATTTGTCCGAGGTTCAGGCTTTATGGTGATTTGTACCACTAGAGGGAAGTGCTGAGTCCTTCAGCACTGGCACTGAGGTAATGAGCCCAGCTGAAGGTAGTGGGCTCATTAACACCTGTATAAAACTTCCCAGAGTGCTTATGGAGTTGCTCCAACCTGGAACCAGATCTGTGCCTGAACTGTCTGGGGAGCTGACCTGTTATCTGTATGCAGAGAGACCAAAGCCTGTGTGGCTAGCCTCCAAGTACTAGCAACTAGGTATAGCAGCAGGCTGTACCTAGTGGGTAGCTAGGGAAAGCGGTTGTTGCAGTAAGTAGTCAAGTTGGCCAGGCTTTATTTTGATGTTTCTTTTTGGTTTACCATTTTTCTGTAAATATTGTAAATAAATTGCACCTGTTTGTTTTCACCTCCACTGTTGTTGTGCTGTGCCTGTCTTTTTTGTGTTGTGCACCCATCTAGGGGGTCACACACACACCCGCTGCCGAGCTAACCCCGTTACAATATATATACATACTATATTGCCAAAAGTATTGGAACACCCCTCGAAATCATTGGTGCAGGTGTTCAAAGCACCTCCATGGCCAGAGGTGTATAAAATTAAGCAACTAGGTATGCAGACTGCTTCTACAATTATTTGTGAAAGAATGGGTCACTCTCAGGAGCACAGTGCATTCAAGCATGGTACCGTGAAAGGTTGCCACCTGTGCAATAAGTCCATTTGTGAAATTTCCTTGCTACTAAATATTCCACAGTCAACTGTTAGTGGTATTATAACAAAGTGGAAGCAACTAGGAACAACGGCAACTCAGCCACCAAGTGGTAGTCCATGTAAAATGACAGCGGGGTCAGCGCATGCTGAAGTGCACAGTGTGCAGAAGTCGCCAACTGTCTGCAGAACCAATAGCTAAAGACCTCCAAACTTCAGGTGGTATTCAGATTAGCACAACAACAGTGCGAGAGAGCTTCATGGAATGGGTTTCCATGCATGAGCAGCTGCATCCATGTCTTACATCACCAAGTGCAATGCAAAGCGTCGGATTATGTGGTGTAAAGCATGCCACCACTGGACTCTAGGGCAGTGGAAACACCTTCTCTGGAGTGATGAATCATGCTTCTCTGTTTGGCAATCCAATGGACGTTTCTAAGTTTGGCGATTGCCAGGGGAACAGCATTTGCCTGACAGCACTGAGCCAAGTGTAAAGTTTGGTGGAAAGGATTATGGTGTGGAGTTGATTTTAGGGGTTGGGCTTGGCCCCTTAGTTCCAGTGAAGGGAATTCTTAAGGTGTCATCAAACCAAGACATTTTGGCCAATATCATGCTCCCAACTCTGTGGGGACAGTTTGGGTATGGCCTCTTCCTGTTCCAACATGACTGAACACCAGTGCACAAAGGAAGTCGCTTAAAGACATGGATGAGCGAGTTTTGGGTAGAGGAACTTGATTGGCCTACACAGTGTCCTGATCTCAACCTGACTGAACAACTTTGGGATGAATTAAAGTGGAGACTGCGAGCCAGGCCTTCTCGTCTGACATCAGTGCCTGATCTCACAAATGCACTTCTGAAAGAATGGTCAAACATTCCCATAGACACACTCCTAAAACTTGTGGTAGCCTTCCCAGAAGACTTGAAGCTGTTATAGCTACAAATGGTTGGGCCAACTCAATCGAATCCTATGGACTAAGACTGGGATGCCATTAAAGTTCATGTGTGTGTAAAGGCACCCGTCCCAATACTTTTGGCAATATACACTGCTCAAAATTAAAGGAACACTTTGAAAACACATCAGATCTAAATGGGGAAAAATATCATGCTGGATATCTATACTGATATGGACTGAGTAATGTGTTAGAAATGTAAGGACGCCTTATCATTTGATGGAAATGAAAATTATCAACCTACAGAGGACTGAATAAAAACACAACTCAAAAATCAAAATGAAAAAACAATGCAGCAGGCTAGTCCATTTTGCTGAAATTTCATTGCAGCAACTCAAAATGTTACTCAGCAGTTTGTATGGCCCCCACGTGCTTGTATGCATGCCTGACAATGTCAGGGAATGCTCCTAAGGAGACGACAGATGGTGTCCTGGGTTATTTCTTCCAGGATCTGGACCAGGGCATCATTGAGCTCCAAGACAGTCTGAGGTGCAACCTGGTGGTGTCGGATGGACAGAAACTTGATATCCCAGAGGTGTTCATGAGGCCGTACATTGTCATTAGAGATGAGCGAAGTATTCAAAAATTCGATTCGACTGATTCGGCGAATTCGTGGAAAAATTTTGATTCGAGTCGAATATATTCGCTGCAAATTTAACTTATAAAAGGGTGTTTCTAGGCTTCAGAGAGCCTTTATATTAGTGCAGAACACTGTACCTTTAATTTAAATGCCCTTGGAGTCTGCTGGGGAAGAGAAATAAAACTGACAGTCAGTATGACATGCAGATGAGTGCCGTCGATCTTAGAATCACCGCACACTTCACTCATTTGGGCAGTCACGGGGCCAAAACCAGAGTGTGGAGCCACAGTGTGGCGGTGGAGGCAGCAGCAATGGGAGGCCATACAGCACCCTATGACAAAAATGGAAACCACCAGCAGTGTGAGGAGACCTGAAAGTGGCACATGGCAGAGTGTGGCGATGGAGACAGCAGCAATGGGAGGCCGTACAGGGACCCATGACACATTCTGGACCTGGCAGCAGCATGAGGAGGCGGTACAGGGGCCCATGACAGATTACGGGGCCTGGCAGCAGCATGAGGAGTTGGTACAGGGGCCCATGGCAGATTACGGGCCTGGCAGAAGCAATGGGAGGCCGTACAGGGACCCATGACACACTCTGGACCTGGCAGCAGCATGAGGAGGACGTACAGGGGCCCATGACAGATTACGGGCCTGGCAGCAGCATGAGGAGTCGGTACGGGGGCCCATGACACACTCTGGACCTGGCAGCAGCATGAGGAGGCGGTACAGGGGCGCATGACAGATTACGAGCCTGGCAGCAGCAACTTGGACAGGAGGACGTTCAGCTTCTGCACCATCAGGTGCGTGCTCGCAAACTGTTGTCTCTTGGAAACGGATTCCAAGAAAGACTGCTGACGGAATCCGTGAAGAGGAGTAGCAGGAGAAGGAGCATCTGAACGAGCGGAATATGCCAACAAGCGACAACAGGGGCCCATGACAGATTACGGGCCTGGCAGCAGCATGAGGAGTCGGTACGGGGGCCCATGGCAGATTACGGGCCTGGCAGCAGCAATGGGAGGCCCGTAATCTGCCAGCACCCTATGACAAAAAATGGAACACACCAGCAGTGTGAGGAGACCTGAAAGTGGCACATGGCAGAGTGTGGCGATGGAGACAGCAGCAATGGGAGGCCGTACAGGGACCCATGAGAGACTGTGGACCTGGCAGCAGCATGAGGAGGCGGTACTGGGGCCCATGGCAGATTAGGGGCCTGGCAGCAGCAATGGGAGGCCCGTAATCTGCCAGCACCCTATGACAAAAAATGTAACACACCAGCAGTGTGAGGAGACCTGAAAGTGGCACATGGCAGAGTGTGGCGATGGAGACAGCAGCAATGGGAGGCGGTTCAGGGACCCATGAGACACTGTGGACCTGGCAGCAGCATGAGGAGGCGGTACAGGGGCCCATGGCAGATTAAGGCCTGGCAGCAGCAATGGGAGGCCCGTAATCTGCCAGCACCCTATGACAAAATGGAACCCTGGGCTGGGGCAGGCAGAACCGCCGTATCTTTATCACGGTTTTCCCAGGCCACCGAATGGCGACGCTGCATATGCTGACGCAACGCTGTAGTCCCAACATGGGCCCCCTGGCCACGCTTGACTTTCTGGCCACATAGTCGACATACGGCTACGTTTACTTCCTCGGGCGGCTTGACGAAAAATTGCCACACCGCCGAGTAGGAAACTTTGCCCCCGCTACTCCTCACTGGCTGACTGCTACTTCCCTCCGTGCACACCGGCACCACTACTGGCCGTGGTGGTAGGCTGCAGTGGAGCTGGTGCTCTACTCCGTGGCCGTTTGCCTCCACTGACACTGCTGCGACCCTGCTGCCTCCTGGCAGCAGCAATGGGAGGCCGTACAGGGACCCATGACACACTCTGGACCTGGCAGCAGCATGAAGAGGCGGTACAGGGGCCCATGGCAGATTACGGGCCTGGCAGCAGCAATGGGAGGCCCGTAATCTGCCAGCACCCTATGACAAAAAATGGAACACACCAGCAGTGTGAGGAGACCTGAAAGTGGCACATGGCATGAGACACTGTGGACCTGGCAGCAGCATGAGGAGGCGGTACAGGGGCCCATGGCAGATTAGGGGCCTGGCAGCAGCTATGGGAGGCCCGTAATCTGCCAGCACCCTATGACAAAAAATGGAACACACCAGCAGTGTGAGGAGACCTGAAAGGCACATGGCAGAGTGTGGCGATGGAGACAGCAGCAATGGGAGGCCGTACAGGGACCCATGAGAGACTCTGGACCTTGGCAGCAGCATGAGGAGGCGGTATAGGGGCCCATAGGCAGATTAGGGGCCTGGCAGCAGCTATGGGGGGCCCGTAATCTGCCAGCACACCCTATGACAAAAAATTGAACACACCAGCAGTGTGTGAGGAGACCTGAAAGTGGCACATGGCAGAGTGTGGCGATGGAGACAGCAGCAATGGGAGGCCGTACAGGGACCCATGAGAGACTCTGGACTTGGCAGCAGCATGAGGAGGCGGTATAGGGGCCCATGGCAGATTAGGGGCCTGGCAGCAGCTAGCAGCAATGGGAGGCCCGTAATCTGCCAGCACCCTATGACAAAAAATGGAACACACCAGCAGTGTGAGGAGACCTGAAAGTGGCACATGGCATGAGACACTGTGGACCTGGCAGCAGCATGAGGAGGCGGTACAGGGGCCCATGGCAGATTAGGGGCCTGGCAGCAGCTATGGGAGGCCCGTAATCTGCCAGCACCCTATGACAAAAAATGGAACACACCAGCAGTGTGTGAGGAGACCTGAAAGTGGCACATGGCAGAGTGTGGCGATGGAGACAGCAGCAATGGGAGGCCGTACAGGGACCCATGAGAGACTCTGGACTTGGCAGCAGCATGAGGAGGCGGTATAGGGGCCCATGGCAGATTAGGGGCCTGGCAGCAGCTATGGGAGGCCCGTAATCTGCCAGCACCCTATGACAAAAAATGGAACACACCAGCAGTGTGAGGAGACGTGAAAGTGGCCATGGCAGGGGCATGATTCATGGCGGATTTAGTCAGTTGTGTCAGGAACTGGTGGTTTGAAATCCAGACTAATCCACGCCTGATTCATTTTCACAAACGTGAGTCTCTCCACACTTTGGGTGGACAGTCGTGTCCTCCGCGGAGTTACAATACCTCCTGCCGCACTAAACACGCGCTCCGAAGCCACGCTACTGGCCGGGCATGACAGCCTTTCAAGGGCAAATTCAGCTAGTTGGGGACAAAGGTCAAGTTTCGTTGCCCAGTAGTCAAGGGGATTGTCTACCTCGGTTGGCAGGGTGCTGTCCAAGTAGGCCTAAGCCTGTTGTTTGAGGTCCTGCTCCAGGTCCACCTGATGCTGCTGCTGCTGCGGCTGGTTAGTAGTTTCCTCACTGCGCTGGTGAAGAAAGCTACTCATCATCGACTGCAGACTGAGGCAGCCGCTGCTGGTGGAGCTGCCACTGCTCCTACCACCCCACCCCTCCCCTGCTGCCATGGCAGCGGAACGCGAGCGCACAGGGCCCACAGTGTCTGAGGATGGACGTTGGCGCAGAAAGGCAGAGACCAGCTGACTACATAGGTGGTTTTTATAGTACGTTATTTTGGCCTCCCTCTCAGCAGGTGTGAAAAAGGCCACCATTTTTGAACGGTAGCGAGGGTCCAACAAGGTGGACAGCCAAAAGTCATCCCTCTGTCTGATGGTTATTATTCGGCTGTCGCTACGCAAGCAAGCAAGCATGCTATGGGCCATTTGTGCCAAGGAATGCGAGGGACTCCCTGCCTCCATCTCCACAGCATACTGCCACGGTGCGTCTGGGTCCTCTGTCTCCTCTCCTCCTCCTCC